ATCTGGCCCAACTCCAACTCCCTAGCCTCTTCATCCTGTTCTTCCCTCTTGCTCGTGAGGTATAGATGTGCTAATTATCTGTCTATCACTTGGATAAGCCAGGCTCTTTCCCAGCTCGGCCTTTGCTCAGTTTTCCCCTCCATCTGGAATGTTCTGTGTTCCCAGCATTCCCTTGGATTACCTCTCAGTATCCTGTGGTTGCAGTTTGAATGTTAGCTCCGTGGAGAAGTCTTTCCCTGTGAATTGTCTCCATTCCCCATCAATAGTGATGAACCATCTCTAAAGACACAATATTTCTATACTGCAATCTAGCACCCAGTACAGTTATAATATCGCACCAATCTGGTCTTGTCTCCATAAGCAAAGCATAAACTCCATGGAGACAGGGATCCTATTCATATTGACCCCTCTTGCTTTTCCAGTATCAGTTCAGACACTGGTACAGTATTAATATTCAACAGACATTTGTGAATGAAAGAATATCACTTTATATTCAGTGGTCCCTTATTAGCAACAATTAAATTAAATATTTTAGATCACCATTGCATAACTTCCACTGACTTTATAAATGTAACTTCCTGCTTTTCCCCCCGCAAACCATATACTCCAAAAAAAAAATGCTGAAATATTTATTAGTTCCAATTTTTGTCCTATAAATTCTTTGTAACTTTTTTTGTTCATATAATAACTTCTTTTATCTGAATAGCCCTTTTTCATTTCTAAAGGTTTGGTCTTATATATTATTTAAAGCTCTTTCCACATACCGTCTTCCCTCTGAGGCTTCTGTGAACATCAGTGTGATACCCTGTTCTGTGCAGTTTTGTCTTTATCTGCCTAAAGTATCTGTCTCATTTGAACTATGATCACATATATACATGTATGTATATAGATAACACATTTTTTTTTCTGTTAGTGTAGAAATATATAAGATACACAGATTTACCCTTGAGTTTGTTGGTCGCCTCAGCACTATGCTTTACATGTGAATAAAAGGCACTAAGTAACCACTGGTTGTATATACTAGGACAAGGAAAAAAATATTTTATAATACTGTCCCTTTGAAAATTTTTTTCTGCATCTACATGCATACTACAAATTGCACCTGTAGCATCAGAATCACACCCAAATGACACATTTCTTAAATTGCTATGTATGTATATTTAAATGTATGACCGTGTTCACACAAGTCAAGGGGAAAGATTGAGTGCAGAGACTTTCAGAAGTAGCATTCCTTTGCCTTTTGCCAAGCCCTGGAAATTGTAGTAGGGGCTTTACATACATTGTCTAATTTAAATTTAAGCCCACAATATTCCTCTAGAGCAAGTGCCATCATCAGTTTTTTGAAACATCCTATTTCAGGAAGAAATAGACACAGTAACAAATAAGGAGCCACACTGACAAAATTAAAATGCTGCCGTTGTTACGAAGGTTCCACACCAAAGGCCAGTTTCCACTTGAATAAAGAAAAAAGTAGCTGAGGGAATCCACCCCAGAGTCGAAGAATAGCACAGGAATCAAATCCTGAAGAGAGATTAAGAAGGTGAAAAATCGTTCCACTAAGAGGTATTTTGTCAAACTTACACAGAGAGTCAGAACAGACATTAGCAAAGACAGGAAATGAAAGGGCTGCCATTAATTTATAAAGAAGAATGTTAATTAAGACCTGAGAGGAATCTGGGAAAAATTACTTCTGTTATTTATTTCGAGAAACCTTTTGAACTGCTAATGAGAACGTTTGGATTATCTCAGGAATAACTGCCGTAGTATTTACTGTATCAAATTATGAGTTTCTAAAGTTAAGGTGAAGGAGAGAGATCAGTCACAAAGGAAAGGAAAAATGTATAGTGATATGGAAATAAGAAACTGGCAAATGAGGAATAGATTATACTTAGGTAAATAGAAAGTAAAACAAAACGTAGGTGCTTAAAAAAAATCTAGTATCCAACAGTGACAGTGGCATCTGGAGGGTTGCCTGTAACAGTAAACCACAATTTCCCATTGTATCCATGGACTCAGAGAAAACAGGAGGAGGAGGAAGGGGAGAAGGTGGAGAAGACGTTATTACTGAAAGACGGGACCCCTCCACAGAACCAGAAAGGTTTTTCTTTTTTTCTTTTGTCACTAACTGTAAGGCCAATAAAACTTAAAGGAAGCACGGCAGATGGGCTGTCCTTGCCATACTGCCAGTGATGTCATGCAAAGTGATCTTCAGATCACAGGTGAAAAGTTTATACCAACCAAAATTCCAGGCAGGAGTCACCTTGGCTGCTTTAAAAAGCATCAGGCACCCAGAAGTTATTTATTTCTTCCTCTAACCATTCTCTCTCCGCTACATTTATTTGTTCACTACGAACCGCCAGGACAGAACCGAGCAGAAGGGGTGAGAGAAGAACCAGTGGGCTCGGGCACGTGTCTCATCTTCCCAGTGCTGTGCAGGCAGAGAAGAGACAGAGCTTCTGTTTCTTCCTGAGCGTTGCGCTTCTTCATGTACTCCTCTTGACAATCAGGAAAAAGTCAATATAACCCAAGGGGCCATAAAACGAAGCTATGAGCAATTCAAATAAACAGATCATGTATTGATCTGAACAGATCTTCTTGTTTCAGAGTAAATAGAATAAAAATACTGAAATCCAAGGTAAAGATAAGAATGGGCTAAAGAAATGAAACAAAACAAGCTTATAGGATAATTCTTCTACAAAACCAGAAAAATTGTCTTTCATAAAAAAACTGGTACTTTCAAATTTAGAAGAAAACTCAGCTCTCTGGAAGGGAACTGGACTATATTGAAGAAAGAACAGGAATGGATAAAAAGACAACATGATGATGGAATGAGGGAGGCGATGGGTGAAAAAGGAAGAATTGCAATAAAATTAAAAATGCAGGTGCACAATTAAAACTATTATTGGAGGCAGTAAAAGATTTAACTTTATAATAAGTAGAAGTAGTGATGTGGGTGACCAACCTGAGAGGATGCAAAGAATGTTTGGGAAAAAAGAGTAAATGCATGAAAAATAATGAGAAATTTAATGATAGAGTAGAAATCACAAAGTATTTTTAAGAATTACAGATATACCTTTAAAACACATCAAAATAAATGGAAACAGTTCTTGAAAAATGTCCTGGATCATTTGATAGGAATCATTAAATCTGTAGATTGCTTTGGGTAGTATGGCCATTTTAACAATATGAATTCTTCCAGCCCAAGAGCATGAGATATCTTTCCATTGCTGTAAGTCATCTTTAATTTCTTTAAGCAGTATTTCATAGTGCTCCATGCATAAGGCTTTAAACTCCTTGGTCAGATTTTATGTCTGAGCATTTTTTTGATGCAATTTTTAAAAAAGATTGTTTCTTTACTTTCATTTTCTGATATCTCATTGTCAGTGTAAAGAAATGCAGCTGACTTCTGCATGTTAATCTTGTAACCTGCTACCTTGCT